CCCCCCCCCCCCCCCCCCCCCCTTGCTTTTTCTCAGAACCTACCATTATGTAAGCGCAAGTATTGATGGTTCAGGTATAGCACGGTGGCTGGTGCCCCCGGGGCCCCTGCCATCTCGACATGGCTGCGCTTAGAGGGACATGACAAATTAGTGCTCGCACACCATTGGGCGAGAACTCACCAAGAAAAGAGACGTTGGAGGTGGAAATGGGGAAAGAAAGAGCTGGAGAACCGCAGGGCAAAGCTGGAGTAATAGAGTGCTGAGCTTTGGGAAGGTCAAACGCATGAAATATGGTAACTCACAAGTAATATAGATGTGTGACTATTGTACCGAAGTGGGCCAGTAAAGGTCTTGAGTTGCAGACAAAGAGCAGACGTGGGATTTTTCGATAGAGATCTCCTTTACATCTCTCTACCAGGAGAATCTATGATACCTTCTTTTCACAGTGATATGCAAGGTGTTGCTTTATCCGATTATTTAGTGTGACATTCATAAGGAAGGAAGCAGATTCAAAGTCTATGTAAATGTTTAAACTCTTTTCTAAAGCTCTGATCAAATTAGCCGGATTTAGAGAGCCCGAGCAATCATTTTCATGAGCTTGAGTATTGATCCTTACGTAACAGTCTAATTTAGAAGCCTAATTAGTGGTAATGATTCACTGCTAAATATGATGGTTTGGTCAAATGATGACATTTCCAATCTCCATCTGCTTTGTTGGTACGATCCTTCCAGCCACCTGTGTAAAGAAAAGGGATGGGGGAGGGTAGGAGAACCTGAGTGAGCTCGAGATATTAATGTTGTCAAATAGGGTCAATAAGTCAGTCTGCAGATGCAAAGTACATTAAGGGTTTTTCGGGGTTGGGCTGGCGGAGGGTGAGTGGGAGTGAAGGCATGTTCACAGCACCTCAATGGAGTAGCCAGGTGACGGGGCATGATTTAAGATGGAGTTTCCTTGCATGTTGAGGTTATCAGGGGAAGGATTAATGGCAGGGAGCGGGATATATTCCGGTGGCGCTAGTGAAGCCGTGTAGCAAGGCCATACATAAATCATAGCAGCAAAGTGACTTGGACAAGATGATGGCTGAAATGCCGCTGCCTGTATAGTCCCAATATCGACTTTCCCCCCCCTTGCTCCCTTCTTAAATCATGAGGCGCAGAATATAAATGGCCCAATTATTCCAGCAGAAACTGAAATTAAAGACATTCTTCTTTTTTTTTTATTGCTTCTTCCTAACAGACGGTGGTGTGATCTCGCATCACCAAAGACTTATTGTATTTTTTGCAATACAGATCTAAAATCTCTGAATCAGAATCCTAACGTGTTGATGTGACAGGCGGAGGGATTGATTGTCACATTACACGCTTTTGATCTGAACCAAATGATGCAGCCACAGCTCTCAACGCCCTTCAACAACACCTGCAACCTAGCCTTTATATTTAAAATGCATTATATGTTAACTTGAAAGGGTTAGTGTATTAATAATAGAGTAATCATACAGAAGCCGAGGCTGTTACCAACGCTACAAATAATACATGAAGTCATTGTTCAATGTTAGATTGTGTCAAACGTATCAAAAATCAACATTAAAATTAAACACGAAGTTACTCAACAGCTGTTCAGTACATGCACTTACATCTTCAACTCATAACAACATTCCCTTCGTCCTCCACGTCAGACCATCTGATGCTGGACCCAGGAGTGTTAAGCTGTCTCTGCTCCATTGTTGCACAGAGCCTTCGGGGCTGTTGGGACAGCCGCTGCCGTCCCATTAAAAGCCACTGCGGCAGGAAGCTCAGACGCACAGGGATCTATAGATCTGATAAGAGATAGTGCTGCAGTTTACAAGGGCTCCCAAGCGGTACCTCAGTTGTTCACAGAAAAGAGGAATCTAAACAGCTCATTGGAAATCCTTCACGCGTCTTCTTACCACTTAGGTTTTCCTTCCCCAATCATTGATGCCAGCCCCCTTTGCCCAGGACAGCAAAAGGCAGCTGTGGGTGAGTCACACAATCCAGGAATACAATCTTCAAGGAGGCACGAGGAGCTCCTTAGGGCATATAGTTTCAAACAGCAGGGTTGTTGAGCTGAATTACATGTCCCGTTATGTTACTTCAGTGTATGTATATGTTTGCATGACTTACAGGGGGGAAAGAAGTCTGCGGGTATGTGTTATTACAGGCTCGACTTGCCTTTAAATCTTAAGTGAACATGTGTAACATTCCCATTCATGCACCTGTGTGCTTCCTTCCTTACACAACTTCTGTCTCCTCTCATTTATATACCTGCACATGTATAGTATGCAACATCTGTCTCATCTGTTGTTTGACTTCTCAGCTTCAGCGTCCTTCATCCCACTTTCACATCTCAAGTTATTTTCCAATCAGATGGATACGTGAGCTACTTGTATAGATGTTTGTCATCATTGTTGCTCGCTTTTATAAAGAGTCTCTCAGTGTCTCGAAAAGCACTCAAAGCCAAAAAGCACTTCAGGGCAATGAGAGGTATTATTATTAAGAATAACACTGCTGATGTTTTTCCTCAGCGGCCCTATTGTCATTGTGCTCAGGCAGCCAAAGTACAGTCCCTCACAGTGCTCCCTCAGTGGGGAAGTGAAGCTATTACCATCTATGGAAAGACATACAGGCGACTGCACCGCTCTGCCGCCCACTGTCTGGCTTTGCCATTGGTTCGCACACAGTAGAGTACCTCTCTGATTGTGCAGTAGCCCCTTAAGCTATGACTTGCAGGACTGAATGCCATTATGTGAGAAACCCTTGAAACATGAGGGTCTTGTTTGTTGCGCAAACACACAGATCTAGACATTCAGAAATAGTCTTTGAATGTATTTTAGTTCTTTTGATCCCATCACAGCGCTCAGAAGATAGACGGTAGATGATCCTTTTAAGGGGAACTAGCAAATAGAGTGAAGAGAGAACGTGTGGATGTATATGTGCCTGAAAGTCGAGTGATCTGAGAACGAGAGTTCGGCTCTGCTAAGTCTGGCACAGTTCCTTCAACAGTGTGTCAAGTCAGCTTAGGGCTGACTCCGGAAGGATTGGGAGTCAGCAGCTCGTGAGGAACAGCAGCTAAGGTTACCACCACCACCACCACAGGTCCTTTACTGTAGATCAGTGATTTACAACCAGGGGTACTTGGACCCCAACGGGTACTTCAGTAGTTGCCGGTGTTATTTTTGAAAGCCTGTAGATTAGCAGTTTGTTGTTTTGCCATTACTTTCTCAAGGAGTTAAAGCAGTTATAATAGAATTAAGGCCTTTTTACACCGGGGACAAAAACAAAGGAATTGAAAGGAAAATGTGGAATTCTTAAGCAAAGACAATGAGCTCATAGGCCGCCATAGCTGGTAATAAGATAATATGGGCTGTGGGCTACCAAATGGTTTTGAAGCTTCATTCACAACGTGGACATTCAACTTTCTCTTTTTAATAACTTTCAGAAACAATGCGTGTGATAGTCCTCTCTCCCACTCTGTCCCTCACACACAGCCACGCGGTCCTTGGTCTGTGATCGTGTCAGTCCAGAAGTCAGAGATAGAGGAAAACATTTCCATGCAGGTTTTTATCTCACCAAATATTCTGCTTCAATCTATATTTGCTGCCGTGCACAGACAACAAATTCACTGTGTGCTCTCTGGCACTCACCTGTTTACACTTCAACTTCTTCGCCGGATGTTGTCTTTATGTTTGTTGTATTTATATTTCTTTTGTTTCATCAAAGAGGACACTGATTTGCGAGATCAATTTCTAAATTGTCGTGTGACGATATGAACAGAAGGACATTGAAGTCTGAGAAAATCTATTGCTTACGTGAGCAAAAGTCACTTTATTGGATGGCTTGTTCTTATCAGCATCTGGAATTCGCAGAACTCGAAACGGCTGCGGAAAGAAAAAAAACGCTGCACTGCAAACTACAAACAAATTAGCATTCAGTGTGGAATGCCTCATAAAGACAGATGGGCTCAAACTTATATTGTGATTTCTTTCCACACAAAGTATTCTCGTTTGGTCTGAAGAGACCTTAATTCCTGGTGCCCGTGTCCACCGAGTGTCCCATGAAGCAGGACATGAGCTCTGTGACTGCCTAACGTACCCGTCACTGGATCCATATGCCTTCATGCTGCATTGGTTTCCCCTGTAGCGGAAACAAAAAGACAGTGGGATGAAGAGGAGAGTGCCACAGTGAGTCAGGCAGGTATTAAGAAACTCAGTGATGGTGCAGGGCCATGAGGAGAGACGGGGGGGGGCTCAGTTTCTATGGTCCATCGCACAGGTGTTACTGTGGCAACTAGAACCGACTCGCCAGCCAGCCATGCTGCGTCATCTTATTTTCAGCCTTTCCTCTTTTCTTTTATCCCGGTGTATTGATCCCTTCACCTCTCCCTCTCCCTTTGTGCAGCTTTGTATCTCTCTTGCCATTTGTCAGCCGTCCTTTTCTCTCCAGTGTTTTACTCCACACTTTGCATTCTCCTCTCTCCTCACACCTACCTGCTCCTTATTCTAGCCACTTTCTTCATTGCGATGAGCTCTTTGCAAACTACATTTAAGATATCTCTTGCTCTCTCCGTCTGTGTTTGTGTTTTTGTGTGTGTGTGTGTGTGTGTGTGTGTGTGTAGGTGGACGTGGGAGTAGTTCACTTCACCCCTCTGGTCCAGCCCCAGATCCAGCAGCCCTTCAAGCTTGTGGAGAAAGTCGTCAGGAACGTTTTCCAGTTCCGCAGGAAGCACTGCCATAGAGGAGTAGAGTAAGCACAGTTATACAACTTGATGTCGCTTTCAAAGCCTCCGCGCTCTCTTTCCTCTCACTCTTTTTTACTTTTTAATCTTGTCTCATCCTCATCTGTCATTCTCTCTCTGCATTTTTTATTCCCTGTTTTCTGACAGCTGCGTCTTGATCTCATCATTAATTAGAACGTTTTTTTGATTTGTGTTTCTCTGTCACACACACACACACACACACACACCACTCTGACAAATAATGGCACTACATTTGAGGCTTTCTGTTCTCTGGACAAGTCTGAAACGTCGGAGCACGCTACGAGCTCTGTTGAAAGCCACTAGCGACAAACCCACACGCCCACGTGCATGTGCACGCTGCCCATCGCCCCCGCTAGGAACGTGTGTGTAGGCCCGGATAACAAAAGGAACATTGGTTGTGCGGAAGAGAGCAGCAATTATGAGTCATTGAGGTGGCATAGGAAGACGAGGCAGCATATTTTATGTAACTACAGCGGGTCGGCGGCAGTGGAACCAAATTGGAGAGGAGGCACCAGCGCTGAAGCGCCTACAAAGCATCTGTACTGTGGAGTGTGTGGAATCAGCTATTACTCACCAACCTGCAGAGAAAGAACACCGGAAAAGAGGGAAATGTCATTCGAAATAAATGATCACCTTTCTATATTGAATGTTTCGCGGAGCTTTTCAGAAAAAAAATGTAACATTTAAATTATAGCTGCTGTCTTAATGTCGGATAACTTTGTGTCCGTTTGAGTGTCTACAGTCCTTGACTGTGGAGCACGGCAATGGAACAAATTAACAATTCATGAGCAGCTCTAGCCTTTTGTGTGATTTCAATTAACTTCACACATTTGAAATAATCACTGAGGGACAATTTCTTCCTGCTTAAACTTGATAACACCATTAATCTTTCATGATCATCAAGCTATCAAAGTGACCCCAGTGGAGGAATGTGTGCGATCATTTCTTCATGTCTCTGCCTCACTTTTCAGAAAGTTGTTCCCTGAGGCGTGTCGTGTTGAGATGACACAGGAGATGATGCAGAAAGCAGACGTGGACCCCACTCTACGCCCGACGGAGCTCACCATACCCCAGTTCAGAGCCTTAGCGGAGGCCTATGCTCATTTCTGCACACATGAACCCAGTCTCCTCGGCTATGAGTTCAGAGAGGAGCTCAGACTGAAGAACCTCGCCAGGCAAAGGAATAAAACAACAGACACATTTATGGCCAAGCCAACCGGCACATCACAGCAACCCTGCTAAATAAAAGAAAGTATATAAACCAAGAGAGGCCCACTAATAGCCTCTGTTAGCACAGGGAGTGCTCTTAGCCTTGACATTTCCACCTGGCATATGCATGCATTTTTAAAACGTTTTTTCCCTGCACCCAGGGAGCAGTAGGTAACTTGTTATACTTAAAATCCTGGGACAGACACAAGGCACATAAAGATCCTGGGTGGGTTGGATTAGCTCCAAAAGCTTGCTCCAGGATGGGACAACTCAAAGCAGAGTCATGTGTATTTGGGAGAATTAAAAAAAAAAAAAGCATTCTAGTTACCCACAGTAGGTCTTTAAGAGTGAGTATCTCTTTAAGTCCCAATTTTTATTTCAGATCCAGCGCGCATAACATCTTGTCCTGTGGGACCCAAAAGAACCGTCAGCGTTTTCAGGGTGATTTAGGAAATGGGAACAACATGGCAGCACCATATTCAGGCCGTTTCCCTTCTCTAAGCACTGAATTGTTTCGTCACTTGAGAGACGGAGCTTAAAGGGAGGAGGAAAGTGCTGGAAATGTTTCACCTCCAGAAAGACTCTTGTTGTATTAAAGAAATCTACTGTTAATGCCTATATTTATTTATTTATTATATCTATATATTTATATATAGATACATCTATATATAATAAATAATACAATCTGCAATAAAATCTAACCAATTTCCTTTTTAAGGAATGATGTCATGCCTCATGCAGCATTTATGACATGTACGTATGTTTACCACGGTGTTTTTTATGTCAATAAAAGCGTCGTTACAATTTGAAATGTTCGTTTTTGAACGCTAGAACAGATTATCACCAACAGAACATGGCAGGGCTGTTGCCTGCCGGTGTGGCAGATGGCAGGCTAAGGTTGACTTGCCAGAGGGAGACTCCACTCAGTTTTGATGATTAGTGGGTGTTAATCTCCAACCACAATCAGGACTTCATCAGATTTACATGGCAGATAGGTATGCAGCACTGCCATGTTGGCAGCGGTGATGGTGTGTGTTATCAAGAAGGCTCTGTGACCCTAAAGAAACACGAGGTGGTTTTGTGTTATGATACAATTTTATTTTCGGAAGATATTTGTTATGCCACCTCAGAAGACATTTGTTTGTCTGTATAATATCTTTTAAAGGTGCCCATTATTATACACATAATTGTGGCGCATATTGCCTCTCAATGGCTAATAATGCTAACAGTGCATACAATGGCAACAGTGCTGACGGCGCTCACAGTGTTAACCTGAGGGGCGCTACGCTTCTGCGACGACATCAGCTGTAACCACCTTCTGAGAACAGTCTAGAGCGGCGGCCATGAGCGAGCCAGTGGGGCATGCTCACATGCACTAACATGCACTAAAAGGCATGCAGGCCGGCCCAGCTCTGTAAGAGAGGCTGGGATCACAGCACGCACAGAGGGAGAGCGACTTCATTCACTGCGCAGGCAGACATTACTCCACTATATCTTTTCATAGCAAATAGTAGTTTGCTGCTATGTTAGTGGTATGAATGTTGAATAGAGAACCTTTAAGCACTACTATCCGTTTTAAAAACCTATACTTAACACTTCAGCTGCCTGCTCTACATAAATTCATGCCAGAGTAGTAACTAAGGTTACTGCTCCCTGAAGGGTTCATTGCTTGTACTCATGAAATCATTGTACTATTGTATGTCATTAAAAATTCATAGTATACTGTGTATAAGTAATGAATAATAAAGCTAATGGGCAGTATGTCGACAAAAACTCAAATTATCATATTCCTGAAAAATCAAAGTATAGCATGACAAAAATGTCAGTGTAGAATGTTGAAAAAAAGTAATAAAAATGTCATACTGTAGCAGGTTGAAAAAATGTCATAAAAAAGTCTTATCATAGCATGTCGAGAAAAGTCATGGTATAAATAGCATGTTGAAAAAAGTCATATTATAGTATTTCAAAAAGTCATGAAAGAGGCAGAAAGTCATTGTGTAACATGTCAAAATTGTAGCATGTCGAAAAAGTCTCAGTATAATATGACGAAAAAAGTCATAGTATAGCGTGTTGAAAAAAGTCTTATTATAGTATGTCGAAAAAAGTCTTATTATAGTATGTCGAAAAAAGTCATAGTATAGCGTGTTGAAAAAAGTCATAGTATAGTATGCCGAAAAAAGTCTTATTATAGTATTTCAAAAAGTCATGAAAGAGGCAGAAAGTCATTGTGTAACGTCAAAATTGTAGCATGACGAAAAAAGTCATAGTATAGCGTGTTGAAAAAAGTCTTATTATAGTATGTCGAAAAGTCATAGTATAGCGTGTTGAAAAAAGTCTTATTATAGTATGTCGAAAAAAGTCATAGTATAGTATGTCGAAAAAAGTCATAGTATAGCGTGTTGAAAAAAGTCATAGTATAGTATGTCGAAAAAAGTCTTATTATAGTATGTCGAAAAGTCTTATTATAGTATGTCGAAAAAAGTCATAGTATAGCGTGTTGAAAAAAGTCATAGTATAGCATGTCGAAAAAAGTCATAGTATAGTATGTCGAAAAAAGTCTTATTATAGTATGTCGAAAAGTCATAGTATATGTTAAAAAAAGTCTTATTATAGTATGTCGAAAAAAGTCATATGACGAAGTCTTATTATAGCATGTCGAAAAAAAGCGTGGAAAGTCACAGTATAGTATGTTGAATAAAGTCATGAAAAAGTCATAGTATAGCATGTCAAAAAAAGGTCAGAAAAAAACCCAAATGGCAGTAATACTGGAGTTATGCACCCAAAATCTTATAATTTTAGCTCACCTGGTAGAACAAATGTCCCATCTTCAGGTATTTACACAGAACCAGAGGTTCAAAACCTATTTGTCCCTTCTCTCCAAAACTTCTCAAAGTATTGTACTACCCCATTACATAAAAATATAATCATTAAGTCAATAATAGCCTGTTAATGTTCAGAATATCTTAAATAAAAACTCACAATATACTATATTCAAAATACTGTCTTTCTCACAATGACAAAACAGGTGTCCAAAAACATCATTGTGTAGTATAGCCAAAAAGTTATAGTATATAACTGTAAATTATATGTATATATGTATATAATTGTATGCTTTAAAAAGTCAGTATCATATCACAAATATTACAAACTTACTATTATTTATAACTGTACCATTTTATTTATTATTTTTATTATTACTAGTTTGACCAGGTTTTAGCATGAAACATTATCGAATAATTACCACTCATGTCCATATTTTCTGCCATACAGCAAATGTTTTATGGGCTCTCTTTAAGCACCATAATTAATTAAAAATTTCCATTCACCTGCTATTTGGGTAATGCCTCATGTAATATGATGTAGTGCCAAAATGTCAGCAGATGTTTCAAATTAAAGCTGAAACTATACAGCCATGCAGATAATTGGGAAAATGATTGATGAACAATCGTCCACTCACCAAAAATCCTTTAATTGATATTTTGGGTAATTTCAGACCTCTAGCTTTAATATGAAAGAAAATAAGGTAAAGAAAAACAAATGAATCGTCCTTGTGGGGATGCTAAATGTGCTCAGCCAATTAAACATGTCAGAACACGAAGCTTGCTTATTTTAACACAGTCATCACTGTGTATAAGATCCAAGCATTCTTCAAATAATGGTGTCCCGCTTCTGTCAGACGCTTCGTATTCTATTGAGGATATACCTTTTCTTCCAATATCTGAATTTCCTATGACAGCTAATCAGAGACTGGTGGCAAGTCAAGCTGCAGGGACCGAGCCTGAGATAAGACACCGACGTCCCAGCACTGCTTCACCCGTCATGAGAACATACAGAACCAATAAAAACTCAACTGACAGACTTTGAAGGCTAAGCTGAAAGCATTGCTCCTCCAGGCGTCATTCACAGATAAAATATTTATTTATAAAACAATTCCATAAGAATGGGGCATTCACATTCATTGGTATGCTAGCATTAAAGGCATGGCAACGTTGAGTTGAGAAGGTAAAGTATGTGATGTTGGTTTGCCTTCTTTATAGTACCTCAACACGTACTTTATGATATGGCAAACAAAAGATTTACAAAAATATCAGCTGCATTTATTGCCAATTCCTGCCTTATTGTCTTACCTGTACAGTGTCAAGTATGTATGAGAGAACACATAAATGTTTCAAAGATAGAAAAGATTATATATACACAGGACACAAACATAAACATTATTGCAGTTTAAATCGTTCAATTAAGCAGCCAGACCTCAAAACACTTGTACATTCCAAAGCATATACTAGAAGTTTAAAGGAAAGACTTCCAAAATCCAGTCGGCAACATTTAAAATGGAGTGGAATAAAAGTCAAGCTGTATTGCATCTTTTGTATTTACTAATGGATCAAATCTTTAGTCAACTGTTCAAGCCTTCACTCACAAAAGTAAGTTTGCCAAACTATACTGTACATAGTCAAACCTATTAATAAATAAAAAAACAGCATTAAACATTAAAACCTGTACAAAAAAATATTATTTCAAATATATAGGCAAACATTGTACTTTAGTGCACAAAATACAGCAAAAAAAAAAAAAAAGCTTGGGGTTTTATTTTCAGGCAGTCGGACATGACCGCCACAGCTCTTTGGGTGTATGTTATTATCATGTAATAGCCCTCACTCAGTGCCTCTTTTCAGTTCATATTTTGCAACTTATACTAAGTGGGGACCTGACAGTGTTTGGTTCTGTGACACCGAATACTTTACCAGAACCCATGACCTCTGTGTATGAAAGCCTGCTGCCTGGGCAAGCTGTGCTTAAGCACCAGTGTGGCTTCCTCCAGAAACTTCAGTATCTTCACATGACTCTATATGCAATGTGGACTTTTAACTTTAGGGACTGACAGACTGAGGCCGTTCTCCCCACTCTTCATAGGCATGGTCGAAAATCGAATAAAAGCTGCAGATGAGCTTGAGCTGCAGGGGAAAAATAGGATGGAATACATCACCCAGACGGTTCGTTGGGAGGAGGCTGAGCTGAGCAAACCGCTGTAACACATCAGATAATTTACTCCTAACTTTAAGCAGGCAGGTGCGTGGCTTACTAAATCGACTTCCGAGTTTAGGCACAGCTTCAAAGCCACACTGGTAGCTGGTTTCCCCTCTAATGACGCATGGGCGCATTTGGTTCGTGTCTTAAACTTTATAACCATTAACTTGTGGCCCTGGTACAGTACAGTTCTGCTCCATCCATCCAGTCCCCTATGAGGAGGTGGCGTTTCCAGCATCTGTGGCACAGCCCTCGGCCTGGTCATAGAAACAGTCTTCATTCACTACAGAAGTCAGACTTTGGACACTGAACTCTCTCTCCAACGCGTTGAGGTCCACGACCCCAGAAGATGATGCTGCATCTGTCTGGCTGTCAAGGGACCTGCTGTGCGCTTTCATGTTCAACAGCGCACCCTGGCTCTTCCTCAAACTGCTGGTTTTCCTCTTAACAGCACTGAAGTGTCCGCGCATCAGTTTGGGTTGGGTCTCCGGAGTGTCCCCCACGCTCTCGGGTTGAACACAGGGAGCCGGCGCAGCATCCTCTGATAGTTGAAGTTGGAGGAACTGAGCCTCGATGGCGCTAGTTGGGGAACTGCTGTCTCCACTGCCCCTCCTTGTTCCCCCTTCGCTAAAACCGTCATCATCCTCGTCACTTAAAATATCGGACTCTTTCACAGCAGAGGTGGAGCGAGGGGGTTGCGAGTTGGATCCAGGTGTCCGAGACCAGTTCTGCTGGACAGGGAGGAGGACGTGCGACTCAGAGGAGGTGCACGGTGGAGGAGCCCCGGACGAACTGTAGGTCCCACTGCTCAAGCTCCCCTCGTCCGAGTCTGGCCCAGGCTTGGGACACCCGGCCTGGGCGGAGAGATCTCCGAGAGGCTGTTTACACAACCAGGAAGCCCTGGTGGAACCTGGTAACGAATGCGGAGACGGAAGTCAGAAATGCCCCTCTTATCGGAGCAAAACACTTGCAAGCTCAGCCCCTTTAGCATTTCATGAGCTAAAAAGTGAGATACGATTACCTCTAAAGTACATTCATACTTAGCATTACACAGTTGATGATTTCTAAACTACCAGATGGGAAGAATCACTCTTCTGACCTATGTGGACATGTTTTTATAAGAAAACTTCCCAGGAGGCAGTACCTGTTATACCAAACCAATGTTAAGTTTTATCCATAGATCAATAATTGAAAGAAATATCTCCTGTATAAAAAAAATAAATATATATATATATTTTCTGAAGGCTCACCTAGCTTGACAGAGGGGGGCAAGGTGCTGCGCAGGGGGACCAGTCGCTCCTTACAGCTCCTCTCTAGCGTGTCCTCGCCCCTCATGTTCCTCCTCACGTTCTCCCGGAGGATGGAGCGGACCACCTTGATAATGTTGACCTTGTTCTCTGGCACACTGAGGAGGACACAGAATAGCAACATGAGCACAGGATATGCAAACCTGATTTCAGAGGCTAAATATAGATTAAGGGGATTAGAGAGAGTTCCATTGTGTCCCCAGTGAAATGGGTGGTGTAATTCATTAGGAGTGATCCCAATTTCACCAGGTGTCACAGGACTTACCAATTGGGTCACAGGCTTTACTCAAAGTACCATCCCCATGTAGACACATGAATTGTTAAATGCTGAGACAGCAACAACAGGAACAAAGGATCCATGGGGAAACAATGCTAAAGTGTTAACTATACTCTGCCATATCTCGTTTCCATGATATGAAAACAAAAATTGCTTTACAAGATTAAATTATTGAACAAAATTAGAAAATGAACAAAGAAACAAAATAAACCATTGTATTCTCTAGTCCATATACATCGTCTGTTTTAAATCAGTACGGCTATAGTTCGACATGTTGGGAGGTAATGATACCAATCTCCTTTTTGCCTGTTGAATGTGAAGCTACAGACAACAGACAATTTGCTTAGCTAAGCACAAAGACCTCCTTTGCTTAATGTTTACAAAAAACATTCGTAAATACAAGATATATATAATGTTAATTAGTAAGTTTTAAAGATGCCGTTGGGCATATTTTTGAGCTGCGGACAGAGCGAGCTGCTTCCCCTGTTTTCAGTCTTTATGCTAAGCTAAGCGGCTGCTGGCCGTGGCTTCATATTTAACAGACAGATATGAGAATGGTATCAGCAAACAAGGGAAAGGGCATATTTTCGGAAATGTTGCACTTCTAAAAAAATGCTTCTGTCAAACTGTGAAACAGATTATTGATTAAATACGCTTGTTGTTCTTGAGCTCGATCAGCAAACACACATTTCAATAGTGGTTTACATTACCTTAATTGAATTTGCCTCCAAACAAAGTGGGTTAGCTAATCTGGCTGTGTAGAAAATAATCAGACATAAAGACCAACCCTTTTATACAACTGAATTATCCTTTAAACTAGAATTACCGCCTCACCGGTGTATGCCTTTGGCAACGGGTCATGTTGCAATTTACATCCATGTCTGTCCAAAATGTCCTCACTTCATCATTTTAATTGTAATAATTAGCATATAAATTATTGAGTTATGGCTCAAAATGGCCACCAAAATCTGCACAAAGTGGACATTTATGCCAAATATAAAGAAACTCCGACAAGGTGTTCCTGAAATATTGCGTTCATGAGGATGGGACGAACTTGAGTGGCCTTTGAACACCAAAATCGAATCAGTTCATCATTAAGTCCCGTTGGACCTGTGTGCCAAATTTAAAGAAATTCCCAATGGCCAACCCAAAAATAAAATACCCTAATTCTAGTATGTGTGATGGGTAAAAAAGGCTATAGAATCCATGAATGCAGAGCAGCATTAATCATCGCTGATTCCACCTGAAAGTTTAATCTCTGACCTGCTGCACAGCTGGAAGACTGTCTCTGGTCTACCTTCCACCTCGGACCTGGAGTGAATCAGCTCCCAGATGCAGCTGCTTTCTGTGCCTGTTCCTGGGAGAGAGGAAATAAAGGGGAGGCTTTTAATCACACAGTCCAAATATGGTTTACAGTTTCAGAATGAGATAAGGAGGGAGGGAGCCGATTATAAATGCCAGAAGAGGTGTGCGTGTGTGTGTGTGTGCGTGTGCGTGTGTGTGCGGGCAAGGAAAATGAGCTTAGGGGTTTTGTGTGGGGAAATATAAAGGGGGAGGGAGAACAAAAAGATTTAGTAGATGTACTTTGTGAGTGATTTAGTGGGATACTGTGGCAGTGTGCCAGCCTCTTACCTGCAGTATTTCCCAGTCTGACCTGCAGCGATGAAAGCGGTATGAGCCAACGGAACTTAAAGGGGTCTGAATCTCCGTGAGAGAGGGCCGAACGAGAGCTGGTCTGGTCATCACATAGAGAACGCCACATAGGGGAGAAGAGGAATAAAGGCTGAGTTTCACAACAAAGACACCATATGTGGCACGAGGGAGTAAATGAGAAACAATGCTTACCATCTTCTTCTTCAGCTTGTTGTTTTCCCTGTAGACCAATATCACCGCTTTCTTGAACACTGGTGAGAGAGAGAACACATCGGCGTCTTAGTTTTGACTGCGAATGCCTCTTGGGGAAAGCGACTGGAGGAGCGCAACACACAGAGGCATTTTAGATGCCAGCTTGAAGCCTTAAAGCACATATCAACGCTACAGCTCTGAGTATTGAGATTCACCTAAATATGTTTTGAGTGCTATTGCAGACACAATTCGGTGTGGCGCCGCAGAAAGCCCAATACACTTGGTCTGTACTGACTAAACTGCAAACATGGTCATCTATGCCCAAAGCCCTTGAGACAAAACGGTATGTGGAGTTTGATAGGAATACCAGTCAAATCGCTTCCAGTAACTTCCAGTAACCTTTGGAGTCTAGCAGGGTGGAAGTGGGTGGTAGGGAAAGAAGGAGAAATATTTTTCCCAGAATGCAACAGCAATAACAGCAAGGCAATAAGGGCGCACACTCACCAAACACGGTCATTTCGGGGTCTTTTCTCATGCGACCCAACGATGAACGCGGGTTGAGCCAGACCACTGAGGAATGCATGAGAAACTCTCCCATAGAAATCTCTGTGACCTGAGGGAGACACACAGGAGACTGCTTAAGAAAACAGCAGCGACAGAAGATTCCCAAGCCAGACTTTTGGGCTTTTTGAAGGAGCATACTGTTGTGCGATACATACTAAGTATCCACGTCTCTGAATGATGCTCCACAGACAACGCAGACAACACAAACCACCGTTTGTACACAATGTGAAAGCCGGTTTTCAAGCAAACCTTTCTATGTAATTTGTCTTTTTTGCTCGTTTTGAGAGCTGTTTAAATACGTTGAAAACATACAGTACCCTAGACAACATTATTTAGCATTCACTTTGGATATTTATACTGCAGTGATTTCCAACTAAATATTCCATAAATGTATAAATGTATTCGATCCCTAGAGGCGGTGCACAGAAGACAGAGTAAACAACATCGGTAGCTAAACAGCCCCACTCTGATGTAGTGATAGCTAACTGGGTTGAGGTAGTTTAAAACTGGTACACAAGTACTGTGTTTTTGTTGCAGGTGTCCTTGGAAATAAATGCACAACTGTCGTCAAGGGAACTTCAAATGCATTTGCTATGCTAGATGATTAGGAATCCGATTCTGAAATGTGCATCTACCTCTTTATCGTGGCCGCTCTGCTCAGCAACTAGCTGATCAAACACGGAGCCGTAATCCTCGTAGATCTTCTGCATCTCATTGATGTGGCTGGCCACCTTCTCCATGGCTTTCAGAGCCTCTGCAGGGACAACAACAGAATGGAGTGTTAACGGGGATCAATTCTGGACTGCATATGTAGATGCATTGCATTACAGTAGCAGGTTTGTATGTGCACTGTGCATGACAAAAAGGCCATCTCTTATGTGCACAAATCTGTCACTCGATGCTCGCAGGCATGATGGCATGATAACAGAGACACTGAAATGACAAGTGTGAATATGGCCTATATTTATAGCGTATATGTGTGTGTGTACATGCGTGTGTGTGTGTGTCTCCCTACGGGTAAGGTGGTAGTGCTCCTCGCTGTCCACGTCAGTGAGGGAGACCAGCTCCCTGAGCAGCAGGGGATACTTGAGGACCCTCTGCACCGGTTTAATCAGGTAGGACTCCAGGGTGGATGAGTGCTGCTTGGTGGGGTTCCTCGCAGCCAAGAATTCCTTGAAGGCCTGATCCGTCTTAGCTGAAAAACACATGCACACACGCATACTGAATTAATATGAGTCTTTAGTCTTGGTTTTTAGTGTTTGTGTTTCCTGATGCACTGATGGTCTCGTGCATGCATAGTGAGAGAGATGTGTAGCTGTACTATAAGCCATAGTTGATAGACTGATCTGAAATTGTCCCTGCGCAGGCCAGAGCAGAATCACGGTGCATTAAGCTGCCTCCAGCAGGGGGTAGTGTAGGCTTCACCGGCATGCCATGACCACGGCCGTAGTTGAATGTAAACATCTGCTCATGCATCCGTTATACTTAGTCCATCTCCTCTGAATGCCATAAGAAAATTTAAGACAAGCTTGTTTTCGCAAGGCGAAAGTAAAAAAATAAATAAATAAAAAGAATCTAGCAGAGCTGTGATGAGGTACTTAAATACTAAAGCTGTCTGTCTGGTGAGAATGATCGAGTTGGGACTCCTTAGTTTGCGGCGAAGCCAAAAGCATCGTGTGAAATGGCAGGTATAACACAGGATGACTGAGCCTTCTGTAAAAGGTGATGGCATTCTCCCCGAGCAGTATGCTTCCACGACGCTTACTGAGGGGGGCCATTAAAGTATTAATTATAGCACTCCCAGCCACAGACAGGCAGCTGCATCGACACCTCCCAGAGTAATTGGCAGGCAATTAACGAGTCGACAAATAAACAGAAACTAAGGCAACCCAGGGCTCTTGGCATGATGGGAAAGGGAGGGTGGGGGGGGGGTGATAATGGCAGAGACGGGCATATAATTACTTTAAGGGTTGACAAACTCCCACAGATTTCTTCTCTGTGTCCTTGGATCAGCTGGTTGTGACCACACTGAGCCAACTATATACTCTGGGTGCGGAATGTGCAACTATCACCCTTGTTAAGCTTCGCTATTCTTATCTGTACTGAGCGATTACTGCGCTACATGTTGTTCTAATATTAGCTTGTGCGTGACAACTATAATACAGTTCACCACACCGTATAAAGCGTTGGTTATATACACCCGTATGAATGGCTTAAGAAAAACAAAATGAAGACTTTGGAGTGGCCTAGTCAAAGTCCCGACCTGAATCCGATTGAGATGCTGTGGCATGACCTTAAAAAGGCGGTTCATGCTCGAAAACCCTCCAATGTGGCTGATTTACAACAATTCTGCAAAGATGAGTGGGCCAAAATTCCTCTACAGCGCTGTAAAAGACTCATTGCCAGTTATCGCAAAAGCTTGATTGCGGTTTGGATTTTTTTTCCCCTTAATAATAAAAACCTTCATTTAAAAACTGCATTTTGTGTTTACTTGTGTTATCTTTGTCTAATATTTAAATTTGTTTGATGATCTAAAACATTTAAGTGTGACAAACATGCAAAAAAATAAGAAATCAGGAAGGGGGCAAACACTTTTTCACACAACTGTATATATACATACACACATATACATATATATACATACACACACACACACAGTATATAAAAACTAATATAAAGTTTGATCTGCTATGTTACTATAGCCCAATGGTGGCATTAATGTATGAATTTAAATATTCAACGCCGCAGAAAGCTCTTTCATGCATCAGTTTTGCTTTGATAACCGTATTTACCACTCTTCATTCTCCTCTAGGTAACTCTGACCCATCAGGGACTATTTCTGAGTGTTTTTCTTCTGCTAATCCTATTAAATATCCATCCTGTTGCTTACTTCGAGGAATATCCCATGCAATTCGAGTAATGGGGCAGCACTGGGGGGCAATTTGCCCAGACCCCCCCCCCCCCCCCCCAATGTTGGCAACAAAGCCAATCTTCTTACATTTCTCTCTGCACTGGGCAGCATTCCCAAATAGTGGCAGAAAGGGCCGGCGTCGCAGCAGCAGGCATGAATCAACTTTAAAATATCTGCTCTCTCACATGCTGAGGGCAGAGCCAGGAATTATTAGGGCTCTGTTGTAAGGTTTTAACGGTCCACGTGGACAAGGTTAGCCAAACTATGTGTACTAATAAACGCTTGTATTTGTTTAAACTTCATCTGCCAGTAAAACAGCTTCGGGTGTTTAGAAACCGTGGATCACAAAACAAAAATTATGGATTTTGTGTGCGTGCCTGTGCATGACGATGGAGGTGGAACACACAGCGAACTGTACAGGGCATCACGCACCTCACTTTCATCCACTGTCTCATTTAGAATTTTACTTTCGTACATAATTGATTTGTTTCCCAAAAGACAAGGCCAAACCTTCAACAGCGAGTGCCGTGAGGTGTCTCTGACGCAACATAGGTGCAACGGAGCTGAATTTAGCAGGAGTGTGGGACACTTTGAATTAGTACATGTCTGCAGATGTCACGTTTCACGAATTCTTCACGCGTTTAGGTGTGTATTGTACCTCTCTCCAGGACCTTCTGGACCTTGATGTGGTTGGCACAGAAGCCGCTGTAGAGCTTGAAGTGGTCAGCGTAGTAGAGGAACGATCCCCCGAGAGAAAACAGCAGCTTCTGTTAACCGAGAGGGTGTGAGAGAGAAAAAGGCACGGGGATGAGTGTTGCACACAGATGGCGAGAGAGTGATGTTACACAAAGCCAAATGAGTACAGAGAAGAGGGGATGAAAGAGTGCGAACATGTGAAGTCATGACCGAAGCACTCTGTCCTCCCTCTCTCGGGAGACTAACCAAACGCCACCCTCTGTCCTCCCCCTCTCGCCTAACCTCTCGAGTTCACTAGCTTTCAGCGGCTCACAATCCAACCTGTGAACCTTCACTTCGATCAATAGACAGCACACCTTTTCATGTACAAGGCTATAAAATCACCCTCTCAAAGATCATACCTTTCTTTGGAATAGTGGATGAAACCACCTGGTATAAGAATAATGTTGTTCTGTATACTCATACTCATGAAATCCATACTGAAGCTTTGGACATGTAATCAATAAAGGTGATATGTCACTGTGTGTGTGTGTGTGTATCTCACCTTGAACTGTGAGGGGGTCTCCAGAGTGCTGAAGTCAGGCGAGGAGGCGATCCTCTCCTCCAAGGTCTGTAGAAAGACCCTCTGGAAGTCCAGCATCTCTGGCAGGCTGCCAAACAGACTCTCCATCTGAGGAGGAGAGTATGAGCAGTGGGATAATGGATAGAATGAGGTGAAGAAAGGAGAGGCAGTGTGGAATTGTGGGAAGGTGGATGACGGGAAATTGGCAGAGAAAAGAGTGGAAGGGGAAGAAGGGAGAGAGTGAAGGAATATGAGACGACAAGAAAAAAAAAAAAAAAAAAAGAGCCAAGATAGCTTGTAATTCATAACAGTCAGTGAGACAGGCACCCTGTAGTGTTGTAAAACCTCCAACCTGATGGCTCCATCCATGTCAAAGGCACTAAGGGACAAGCTATAGCCCTGCTAGAAATGCAGCGCACACACATGAACAAACTTCTACTGTCTAACACAGCCTCTCCGACACGCAATACCCGGGGTCAACACTTCCCTTCATTAAAATCCGTTTGGGGGCCAACATGCTCTTGTCCATTTTGTGTCTGGACACGTCCTGCTGTCCCATAATGGCCATTTAATTTGCCCCACTGCTCAGTGGCCTATCGACTAGTGTGTCTCGTGAGAGTCGTTTTTGAGGTCACACCTGACACTAAAGACAGGGATGGAAACTGCAATGCTGAGGTCATTACCATGCTGCAGCTACTGTCACATCTAAGGTGGAGAAAGAAGAACAAAAAGCTGTGTTGTGTGCATCTGAGGTGAATGCTTAAAGGATGGGTTTAATCTTAAACTAGCCTTTATTGGTGTGTCCCAGTGGGGCGCTGGAAGTTCAGGGTAAGGGGACGCTAATTTGTCCTCCAGCCAGTCACAGTGAGGGTAATGAGGGAGACATAGCCTAGCAGAGTCCATCGGCGTCACCTCTGGGTAATAAGCACTCAATGACTTCTAAGCCCTATATAGCCTCTACACCTCCCAGGACACGCCTCTGGACGTTATACACCTCGCATAATGTTTATCATACTTCACATACTATAACACACACACACACACACACACACACTCGCCACCTACCTCGTCCAGTGTGAGGAAGGTTTCATTCTGCAAGGGTTTCAGGTAGATCTCGAACAAACAGGCCAGGTCCTGTGCACAAAAAATGAGAGAGAAAGGTCAGAGACAAGGAATCAAACAGCAATAATTAACATTATCCCTTCATCTGTCTGTACGTTAAAATCCCTTTCATCATCAAATCAATACTTATTTCTCCCTTTATAACCTCCAGTTGTCTCCTTCCCACAGCTCCTCACCTCATTCCTTCCTCTATCTCCCTTCCTCTCCCCCACTACTTTAATGTCGCTGTAGCTTGTCTTGGTATCAGTGGAGATATTCTCATTAGGTTGATTTATGAGCTTCTTCCTCCTCCTCCTCCCCTCCCCAAACTACCTCAGTCGCAAGTGGTGCATGGATACAGGCGAGCAGGCCTGCATCAAGGCACTCTGGGAAGACAATCTTCTCACTCAATTACAAATCAACGGCAAGTTGAAGAGGACGGGTGTGCGGGGAAAAAGACTTAATGAAAAATGAGGAGATGAAGGACAAAGGGAAAAAATGCCAGACATGACAAGTGTCGTAGAGTCAAAAAGATCATGAATGTGGCTCTTTAATGTGCGTCAGGGAGGAAAAGGTCATATTGGAAAACATTGGGGCAGCAGAGTGATTGGGCAGGAAGAAGATAAATAAGGCTGGACAGGAGGAGGAGAGATGGAGGAGCTCTAACTGTGAAAGAAACGGCTTCTATTTCAGTTCTTCTTGTTTTTTATGTCCCATGTCACTTCAAACATAATATCTTATATTTAAAGGAAAAGCTCAGCATTTTGAGAAACACGGTTATTCACTTTTTTGCGGAGACTTAGATTGATGTCACCCGCATAGTCGCATGTCAAATACGTATCTGGAATCAGCAGCCAGTTCATTTAGCGTAGCATAAAGACTGGAAACTGAGGGAAACAGGTAGCCTAGCTCTGTCCAAATGATATAAAATCCATCTATAAGCACCATCACTAATTGGCTTGTTATAGCTTCCTTTTTTGCGTTTGCACAAAAAATAAAAGTGTTGTTTTACAGAATGTTATGGCCAAGACTATTTCTTGACTGGGGGCAGTAACTCCCTGTAGTCTCAACTGCTCCCGCTAAAATAAACATCACCCCACAAAAAAAACAACAACACAATTTCCGTTTTTGAACAGATTAAACAAAAGATAAAAGGTGTTAATTATTGAGCTTTCGAGATGCTGATCGGCAGATTTTTTGTTAACTTTTAACAAAACAGAGCAGGGTTAGCTGTTTCAGTCTTTATGCTAAGCTATCTGGCTGCTAGCTCCTGCCACATATTTATCATACTAATTTGAAAGTTAGATGATAAGATGATAAGATTCATAATATTCTCAACAAAAAAGGTAAAAAAAAAAAATTGTATTACCCAAAAAGTTGTATTCTTCCTTTAAGGACTTGGCAGCTTCCAGCGATAATGTTGTTTATATTTTGCATGATAGATTTGTCCAGTAAAAAGTAGTCCAGCCAAGAAAACTATTACCGCCTCACGGTCGTATGCCTCTGCCAACCAGTCGAGTTGCAATTTATAGCCACGTCTCTCCAAAATGACATCACTTCAACAATTTGTCAAATTAGATATCTGTGTGAATTTGTCATAATTCGCATATCAACTCTTGTGTTGTTGCCAAAAAATGTGACCTTTGACCACCAAAATCTAATCAGCTCATTCTTGAGTACAGGTGGACGTTTATGCCAAATTTGAAGAATTTCCCTCCAGGCAAATGGACCGGACAAACAGACGAACAATCCCAAAAGCACAATGCCTCTGGACACGGCTGGTGCGTGGGCATTAAAATTATGTCATTTTATAACTGAGGAGTAAAATAAATTGGACAGTGGAACAAATTTCAAATAGAGTTTGATCAAATATTCATGTTAGCTCATGAGAAATTCTAATACGACAGCAGTGAAAGCTGTGCGGGCTCACCTTGACATAGGACTTCTCTGTGTCCACCAGCTCCTGGATAACCTTGCGTAACCTCTCAGTGGCACTCATATGCCTGGGGCAAGGTCTGAGCAGGGTAGCCTCTCGCGTGGGACCCGACCCTAAACCCCCTCCCGGCCTCACTGGAGGTTCCTTGGTGTCATCCATCAAACCCCCAGAGCCCGAGCCCGTCCCGTCCTGGAATGCCTGGTAGAGAGTGCACACTGTGTCCACGCTCTGTAGGGGGCGACAGAGAGAGAGAGCGGGGTGTATTTAGGTTAGGCAGCCCGGGGATGATAACAGCCAGCAGGATAAACTAAGGATCCTACTTGTTATAAGAAACTGCATTGCATGCATGCACACGCATATCTGCACAGAACATGCTCTCAAGGATGTATACCTCTCCATTCAACTATTCACCATTAATGATTTCAACTCCATATAGTAGCTGTATATATTGCTGCACTGATCATGGCCACTGATTCTCCTGGGTGTACCAAGAGCGTTGTGGAGATTTAGTTATGCAGTCTATGCTAATTGGCTTAGCATCAAAGACTATACAGTGCATCTGAAGGACTTACTGGATATCCCAGCAGATAGCATTATATCACATTAGATTATTCTTCTAAACCCTAATGGATAGTTATGCAGATTTGTGTCACATTAATTCCAGAACATTTGACATGCCCGAAGATCCCAAGAGGTCTTGTATTAGTTTGTAATAGTTTGTATTGTGGAGTGGAGGAGGGGGGGTTAGAAGCGTCTCATTTTCTAAATTTAGCTGATAAAACCTTCATAAACAGTAGAGTCACCTCCGGCCTGGGTGGAACCCCAAGAGCCACTCAGCGTCATACCATTTACAGAGGCGTGTTCAACAGAGACAGCTAATCCGCATCGCTTTATTGGACTGTATTGCCTGGGGTATAGGGAAATTAACATCAGCCGTAGGCTCCACACTGCGAAGTCTTGCCTGTGGCGGGTAAGACTTTGTAGTCTGTGAGCAACTGTGGCAGAAAATGAACCATTATCAGCCTCTCTGTTCTATTCCCTGGGACATAAAATATAAGCAGAGGGGGAAAAAAAAACCCTCTCCCATCTCTCTATATTGCACCGTGCTTGCCACTGTATGGGGCATGCTTTTCAAGCACTACAGTAAATGTTCCCACACAATCAAAGTCCATCCTAATTTCTTACCTGACGAGCTACTCAAGCACTACTTCATCAACTGCACCACGCTTTGCTAGACTGTAGTGCGCAAGCCATCAATTGTGAGCAAAAATAGCCTCATGATGACCAGCCGTCCTTATTCCAACAAATGTCGAATTATAATGTGGGGCCAGTCACTACAATCAGCAGAGGCTGATAAGTGCCAGTAATAGCAGGTTCCAATCCGCTGCACTGCAACACGGCAACAATGGCCGGCAAAACAGCTGCTCAGCACTCTCCGCCTTCTTGTGCATGTGGGGCATCGCATGACACCCCCCCCCAATCCATCCACTCCCAGGGAGCCCACAGACAATCAAGGCTTCCATTAATAAGCCTGCAACTCATCAGCTCGCTCATAATAGCATGGTCACTCCAGAGACGGCCCTCCAACGCTGTCATAGAGAGAGACTGTGTGAGAGTGACAGACTAAGAAAGAGAGGGGAAAGAAAGAGAGACACAAGGGAAGGGGGGAAATGCCTCTCTATGTACATCTTGGCTAAGCCTCTTTCAAGTGATCCACCACCCACAGCAGCGCTCCACTCTGGAGCTCTTTGAATGTGGGATGAAATTTATGAGGGAACTTGATGTCTCCCTCTGTGCTGCTGGAGAGATGTTCTGATTGGAGAGCGTGCGACACACACACACACACACACACACACACACACACACACACACACACACACACACACCTCGCTCCATTAATGGTCAAAACGAGTCTACAGCCACACGGTGCTTTGAGTTAAATGCTGTTGATGTTTAGCATGTTAGCATTTGTCAATTAGCACTAAACGCAAAGGACAGCTGAGGCTGATGGCGATGGCCTTCATTTTGCAGGTATTTAATCATAAACCAAAGAATTGGACAAATTTAAATTTTGGACTGATTCATCAGGAGGGGGCCATGAATGTTTGTACAAAATGATATGCAATTGTTGCAATAACTCAGGTAGTGGACCAACCAACATTGCCATTCTGCTCGCAAGGCCAAAAAGGCCTTATTAAGCTTATAACTGAGTCGAAGATGTATTTCTATTATATTTAGTATAAAAGTGATACTCTGTCTCATTGGAGTACATAATGTCTTTTTGCCAACAATCATTTACTTCAAAGTCTGACCTAATGGGAAACACTGTTTTTGCAAACATTTATTCTGTTGATGTCCAACCTCATGAATTCCTTTCCATTCGGAAGGAATCCATAAGGAATCCGAGAATGGCAGCCATGTAACTGGAGCTGCTGACACACACTAGTCCATTAAGGATGGTGAAATAATTCAGACACTGATGATGCTGCCACAGACAGCGGCAGTCAGCCTCCCTTCACTGATACACACTCGGTGGGTGGCGGGTAGACAGGAGAGATTGCTTGAGGGCAACACAGAGGTTAAGGATATCAGGGCAACATATTCATCAGACAGCCCACTGGTGGCTCCAGACGGGGAGAGATAACCGCCATATATGCTGTTTATTTCGGCTGCAGACGCCCAGAGGAAAGGGGAGGCCCACGCAACGCCACTCAAGTGCTGAGTTTATTCTCATCACACCCTCACGTTGGTGGGATATGGGCTCATGTTTGTCTCATGCGCACACGAATGAGATGATGGAGGAGCCACAGAGCTTAATTCGACTGTTCGCACACATGGAAACCCAGTTCTACCTCTCACACAGCTTCCTAAATAGGTACGGTTTTCATCAACACTAAATGGCAGACACCTGCATTGGAGCGTGACAAGAAGAGGTGGGGGGGGGGTGCAATTGCCTCATAATAATCCCACCAACACAGCCTGACAGCTAGCCCAAATAACCAATTAAGAGCCAAGGACAGGAGTCGGTGGAGGTGGGAGAAAAGCCCGGCAGCGCCAGGAAAGACGAGTGGATCTGACAGCACTGCTGCGAATTCCCATTCAGGTTTTCTCTCCGACAGCTGACAGCTCTGGATTTTGTTTTCATCTCTTCTCGCCATGTATGCCCTTAAGTCAATTTCGAAAAAGAGGTCTTTTTCAACCTTTGCAGGTAAAAATAAATACAATAAAGTGAAGTGAGAGGCTGCCGAGTCGATTTGTCTCCGTCTACTCGGTTTGCTTCTGATGGTGTCCAGCAGTCAGAAGTGATTTTCAGTGAACAGACACATATACATGATGTCCACTTGCTGCCTTGATGTCAAAGCAAAAGGGTTTCATCACATCCCTTCATATCAAGTGCCATTCTTTATTTATATAAATCCACTCAGTTTCATTCCAAACTGGTCAAAGAAACGACCATGAAATAGAAGCTTAATCTATACTGCCGTCACCTCGTAATGAAAAGAAACCGCATCTATATCTATATCAATCCACTCACTTTCAGGAGCAGTGACACTTAAAAGCACAGTTGAGTACCGACTACTTTCTGTCATCTTTTTTCATGAGGCCCCTTCAAAAACATTACAGTAGAGATATTGTTAACCCCTCGCTCTCCCGATCCTATGCTCACCATGAAGAGCAGTCTGTAGAGCAGCCTCCACGCTGCTGTGGCCTGCCGCTGGGTTCTCCGGGCCAGCGAGCAGCCCTTCCTACTTAGCCTGCCTCCCCTGGATGCTGGCATGACGGCCCCCCAGAGGTGGTGTGCGGTTAGAAAACGTGACCGAACCGGAGAAAATATCCGTGACAGAATCTCAATAGTTGGCTTGATTCTCCTTGGATATCTTTATCTCCGTCCACCTCTGATTCTGGTTGGTCAATCCCCCTCTTCAACTTTTCTCCTCCTCCTATCCTGCTCTCTAATTAAGTGTCCACTGCTGCCTGCCTCCCCGCTAGGCCCGGGTCAGAAGCCTCAGCATTGAGTACACCTATCCCTCTGAGACGGAGTGGGCTTTGATGGGGATGGAGCCATTGATCCTGCGCCTGTGAGCGTTCTGTCAGCGTAAGCAGAGAAAAAGTGCTCGCTGCCAGCTTGTTTTGCATATCAATCACTAGCGGACAGTCTGGCCGCTTGGCTTGTGCAAATAGAGGGGAATTCTTCCCCTAGCAACTGTGTCCTCTCTCACTGTCTCTCTCTTTTCATCAGCGCTGGTCTTCCGACATCTCTACTTTCACATCCTGCTTCCCTCTTTCCATTTGCCTCCAGATATCCCCATTCCTCTTTCCCCTTCCTCTGGTTCCTCCCCTCCTTTTCGGCTCCAATGCGACCTCGGTGTAACTTCCAGAGAGCTGAATGGAGAGGCCCGGGGGCTGTATCAGAGCCCAGCCTCTCAATAGCATCAGTACAATGCAGACTGTTCTGGCTTGTTACCTCCACACACAGAGGAATGGCTGACACAAAAATGTGCGGCTCTGACCCAGTGGGGGGTAACGGGGCAGGAATGTTAACTATGGCCTCATACTAGAATAAAACGTGACATGTATAGAACATCGCAGAGGGTACTTTCTTACTTACTCAACTTGTTTTCCAAGCTGGCTTTATTATGCCCACATTTTCAGACTAAGGTATGGTATCCTGTAAGAAGACAATGCAGTGTCAAGGTTCCTTTACTTAAGTTCAGCAAGCTAACAGTCTGGATTTTTATTTATTTTTTAAATACTAGGCATTTTATGCTTTTATCGGAGAGACACTGAAGTAAGAGGACAGGAAACAAGGGGTGAGGGAGAATGAGAGTGACATGCAACAACGGTCACCAGTTGCGGTTCATGATTGGTGCCTTAATCCCCAAGCCACGCGCCAGGGCGCCCCTCAGTGAGGATTTCTTGCTTTCAAACAAACAAAATACAATTGTACAATATTTTGTCCGACCACAATTAAAGGTAACTGTTTTTATGGCTTAATGGTAAATGGACTTGTATCGCGCTTTTCTAGTCTTCTGAACACTCAAATGCAACAATGGTTCCCAGTTCCCAAGTGGTCCAAACTAAATAGGTCGTACGATGTTTTGTTCAACCACATCTAAAAGGCACACATATAAAACCGTTTTTATAGTTAAATCGTGATGGTAAATAGACTTGGACTTGTATAGTGCTTTTGTAGTCTTCCGACCACTCAAGGCGCTTTATCGCTATAT